GCATTTAGAAGCTTGTATGATGAAGAGAAAAAATTTTATGGATAGACAAAGTATCGGAACAGATCCTAATACCGGCATTTGCTTGATAACGGTGTTAGGATCCGCACCAATATGTCGCATCTTCTGCAATAAAGAAGATGTCTATCCATAAAAAGTGTCCTCTTCAATGAAGAAATGACTGTTGAAAATAACAATCCCATACAGTGCCAGTTATTTTTTTTTAGAAACTAAGAAATACTGTTGTATTAAAAGATTAAGAAAAAGTAAAATTGGAAGCCAGGAAGTCATCAGCGAGGAATGGAGTGAGCTTGGTTTTAAGCTGCTTTGAATAAAGGCAAGAACTTATGGATGGCAACTTCTTCATGTTTCGGAGTATATTCTTACTTCTAGTTCTACAGCCCAGGGAATATACCTGCCTCAAACTTGGGAAACTTTTAATTTAATTATTACTGCTGGCTTCCATGTCATTGTGCTTATCACCTACAGGACTAGTCTGTTATACAGACCCTGAAGCAAATATATCCAAGAAAGCCCACACAAGTCTAGAAGATGTGGCAAGGCATTCTCTTCCCACAGAGGTTACTTGTCATATCTTCCTACGAACCTCTGTTCTAATACGGCCATATTTTCCGGTTCTGGTAAAATCCCCTAGCAGCAAAAAGTCGCAACATGAATTATCTCCCTTCTTTCTATCCAATCAGAACACGTGTTACATTGACTTAGATCCAACTTGACTAATACAAGCAAATGTGGGGCCACAAATTTCCCTCCTCTGCTGGGGACTCGTGTTGGTGTGACACACAAGACATTTAATGGCTAGAGTGTCTGTTGTCAACGAGGGCGATGGAGATCCGCCAATGATCCGCCGTTACATGACTGAGTTATGTCTAGAAGAAACGTTTGCGCATCGCGCAGGGGAAGAGGTCTTAGTTTTCCCGAAGCACACGGAAATTGCCGAGGCCTTGCGAATGATCACTTTTGAAACAACATCGCTGATTGCACAACCAAATCTGATTGCAACCAATCACGAATCCTGAACACTCGCACCATGAAAGGGACGTATTAGAACAGAGGTTTGTAGGAAGATAACAAGTAACCTCTGTGGGAAGAGAATGGTGGCAAGGCTGAAAATGAAGAAAGTCTCAGGGCTCGTTTTCATTATATTTTATTTTTTATATTATGAACTTTTTTTCTGTTATATATGTTTATTTTAGAGACTAGTTGTTAGTCTTCTACAGGACTAATTCCTGCCTTCTCTTTGTTATGTAGCTGGAATATACATGTACTATTCACACTTTGCTAAGGATCAAATCATAGATTCAACAGAAAGCTATAATGTGGGGTCTAATTTGGTTTACATATCTAAACTTATTGTAAGCATGGATTTTAGGTTTCAGTATGTCACTGCATGTTGTGGATCCCATACCTGCTATTGACAGGTGTTGTGTACTTGTCAATGTCTCGTTCCATGATTTGCAAAGTGGTTGATTGGTGCCATGAAAACCATTTTTATGGTTACTCATGTATTAAGTGCATAAGGTTAGATTAAATTGGTTGTTTGCCTAATGAAGGGTTACTGTATTACTATTTATCCAGTTTTAAATGGATACAATTTCAAATTGTAAATCTATGTTTATGCAAAGTGTGAGTAGTATATTTCAGAGAGTGGCGTTAAACATGAAACAAGCAAGTAAAACAAACAAAACAACGTCTCCTAAAAAATGGATGATAATGACATAAATAATGTACTCTGGCCTCGATGTACCAGATCTAAATACCAGTTTGTCGCTAAATTCTTTTTAAAAATATTAACAGAGTAGAAAGATGCAGGGTTTAGCTGTGTATGTGATATATACATGCTGTTTCATTTCGTTGATGTATGTAGCCTTGAAATATATTGGGGTTTTCACCATTATGGTAATTCATTTTACAGAAAATACATTGAAAAGCTTCAGGTAAACAAACAAGAATAACAAATGTGGTAAATATATATGTGAAGTTTGTGATATAATGTTCTGCTAACAAATGTGGTAAATATATATGTGAAGTTTGTGATATAATGTTCTGATTTAGTTATTCCTACCAAGAGAAACGACATTTTCACCCTGGCTGTGCCACTCAAGAAACTGACCCCTGTGGTCCCAGGTCCATGCGATGAAGCCATTATTTACACAAGTAATGTCAAAAGTTGGATTTAATACATATTTTTACGTAACACATAAACTAGTTATTTCACATAATGTTGTTATAAAGACTGTTTGTTATGTCAACTTTATGACTGTACAACATCACTTATCCATGAGTTATGTAATTTTTGTTACTTTTCTAGACTTAATGACTTCAAACTGTGGGTACCTCAAGATTACAGGTGTATGTTCCTAGATCATGATTATTTTTACTCATTTAAAATCATGATACAACCAGCAAAAGTCTCATTTTATATTTATTTAGACTCAGAATACATCTATGTTTCAAGTCTGAAAAATTACAGTTAACCACGGTTCAACCTAGACTAAGCTTAGTCTCTGAATATACGTAATTGTCATGATAACAAATAAACCCATTTAAATTGAAAAGGAGCCCCAGTGAGATGGGAGATACCTGTAGAAATCTAGACTTGCTTCATTTTGCGCCTTAGCACTGCATGGAGGGCTAGGCAGAAGGGAACATAATGCGGTTCAGGGACTGTGAGACGGACTAGATTGAACCTGATTGTGTCTGGTACAAACCGGATTTTCATGTCATTATGCACTTGGTGGAAGCTAAATCAAGTTCCTTAAATTGAGCCCAGTAACAAGTTGTGTTCTGATTTGCATAAATATGCATAACAGAGCCATTACTACCATCAAAAATAGATGGCGACATTTACACATTTCATTTCAATCATTTTCACAACATCCACTGTAAATGAGTGAAAAATCAGAGGCATATTTTTTACATGTCACTGGTGTGTTCTGAATGCAGTTCCGAATGCATGCAGGGCTCTCTGAATCTGCTAAAACAATAACCTTTTGATATGTTGCATGTCATATTTTTTAGGAATTGTACCTGAGTGACGGTTTGAGTAAATGTAAGATTGGGGCTATAAATGCCTTTCATAATTTCAATTTGGGAGACTGACACAGTCTACATTGATGCATGAGCGAAGCCGATTAGCTGCTCGACTTGATATATTGCAGCCTTTTGCAATATTCCATCACTAACACAGATATTACTTGTCTCTCTGAATAAAACAGATGAAGATTGTCAACGAGACCGAACACATCCTTGATCTGACCTGTGTTCCGAGACATTAATAGGTTCTGCATGAATTGTTTAGGTATTGCATCAGATTCTCACAAAGAGTGCAGCATCCAGGGTGTTTTAGCCTACATGTAGAACAAAGCATACCTGCTCAACTTGAGCTGGTGGGATATCTTGCAACAAAATATTCAACATGTTTATTGTCTAAAATAGGTTATGAAAATGTACTTTTATAATTTCTGAAACTCACACAAACAATTTTGGAACTACTGTTTTAGTGCTTGAAACACTTGACAATGGAACATATCTCAGAGTATCTTAGAAGTTATTAGAACCCGAAACATGTTTAATTCTTAGAAAACTCACTTCACTTACTAAAAAGTCATGACTGAATATTTCTTGAAGATTCTGGGAAGTTTATGTTTATGATATATTGGTCATCACTTTAAAGTAGCAAGTTGCATCATTTTACATTGGATGTGTGTGTGTGTGTGTGTGTGTGTGTGTGTGTGTGTGTGTGTGTGTGTGTGTGTGTGTGTGTGTGTGTGTGTGTTTGTGTGTGTGTGTGTGAAAATTCTCTACAATACCCAGCCCTGTTGGTAATGAACCAATTATCAATTGTGTGTGTGTGTGTGTGTGTGTGTGATATAGTCATGACTGCAAATGACCTTGTCTTTTCATGAAGTTTTGTTTAAAGTATGAGTGAGCATGATGAGTGAGTGAGTTTAAAAATACCCCAGTAATACATGGGCTTCACATATTGTAGCCATGTATGGAGTCAAAGCCTGGCTTTTTGTCTGACACATGCACCCAAATTAACCCACTACCCAAAAATGTTAGGGAACAATCAACTCTCTCTGGCATGGCATTACAGATCTATACAGCAATATGACAAATTAGGTGGTGTTTAACTTTAGTTTATTAGTACCCAGGTGTCGCATGAAAACACTTTTAATTCAGGGAATAACTACTTATTCTGTTATGACGTGAATGTCTCACAGAGTTCATTAATATTTGTGTATTGTATTTAAGTTTTAGATTTGTTTCCCTGTTTTAGATAAAGGCTAAAGCTGGATAGACTAATTTTTAATAATCTGGATAGATTTCACTGGCATAAAATACAGAAAATCAACAGTTGTGGCACAGGACTCTAATTATATCTAATAGTAGTTATCAAATAAATCTTCTCACCATCTTAAATTCAATTGTTATACAAATAATTATATTTCATCATAAAAAGGCTGGAATTCTTTTTTATTATAAAGTGTTTATTATCTTTCTTTGAAAAAATTAATGCTACCTTTTGTATAATATTATGAGTTGTGAACAGGATTTGACCACGCCCCCTCCTGTCTGTCTAACCATAACCCAGGGGTCACGCTCACCTAGAGGTCTCGAGTTGACCTGATTCCACATATTGCGGTTTTCATAACTGGCACTTAATCTACATCAGTTTGTATACTGAGAAATATTCCGAAATATGAAGTACATGTTATATGACATTTATGTATTGCCCATGTCAGATAACGGAGTTGGAACTTCGGAATCAGGTCAAGCCGGCCGACTAGCTTCATATCATCGAATGATCTCGAATAGGGACGCCTCATTCACTGAAATAGATTATATTATGTCTTTCTGATATAACCCAAACTTCATCGCATGTATTTGTTTATTAAATAATGAATAATAGCTGTAAAAGTTCATATCAACAGAAGAAAATGTTTTGGGAGAATAATGTATTTGAGATAAGCCGTTACCTTGACATCCTCGAGAATGTCTGCGAGTGCTTCGCGTACGTCATCAAAGGGGCACTGGATAGAAAGACACAGAAGTTCGGGGAGATATTCTGTCACTACGGGCTGAAACCCGTTGATGCCCGTTTCGCCATGTATCTGTTTAGGGCTGCCGTATCCATCCAGCCAAGCATCAAAAGTTTTTCGGATTGAGTCAATGCCCAGCCGACGAGCGGCCGAGTCGCGGTGGCACAAGACATGAAAGAATCGGAGGGATTCTTCATCTCGCAAGCTGGTCAGCGCAACCTCATCTGCCATCCACCCACCAGTGATCCTGAACCCCTTAAACGAAGTCACAGAGTTGTTCTGTCAGTCTCAACCCGACCTTGTGACAGTGAGCGCTGTCCCGGTATCACAACTTGGTCCTGCTTCGATCAGCTGATCTTCACCAGCCGGCATCCATCCACTGGAAAACGTGACCCGGTCTCAATCGCTCCGGTGTCAGCCGATTGAACAGTGCTGCAACCCTGTGATTATCAAATCAGTGATATAATGAATAAGTTTTCGGCACTACTGCAACATATATTATTTAATTTTCCGTTATGTTCGTGCTATTTTACACGTTAACATCGCACTTCCTCTCGGCATCCAACACACAAAGTCGGTCACTGCGCACGAACTATCAGTTGACCTCTGACGTAGCGAACACACCTCCAAAATCAGCCAATCAAAGGCGAGGAAAGTGTACCAGCCGCTGCCTCTCGCACAATGCGGGGTTTATGTATGTTTTTACAAAAAAGCAGTAATGTCGCGTTGATCTTAAATTTGTTAACCCTGTAAACAGACTGCGAATACATTAAACCAGCAAATTTACTTTGTTTTACTTTTAGAAAAAAAATAATTTCTAAACATTTTTAAACACAGCCTGTGTCATGCTCAGTGCAATAACACAGTAAATATTGATATGTCAAGGATATTTATAAATTCCGAGTGCAGATGATATATATGATATCAACAAATGCAGAACATGATATATCTGTTTAATTATGCCTTATTGACACTGTGGCTTTTGGAGTGAAAAAATGAAAATAGGTTCGTAATCTTTTCTTGTGAAACCATGTTTATATATATATATTATATACTACCGAGAGAAACATGGCAATTTCATCAAGACTGTGTCACTCATGGAACTGATCACTGTGTTCCCAGGTCGACGCGATGAAGCCATTTTTTTACACAAGAAATGTCAAAAGTTTGAATTAATATATATATTTAGTATATATGATTTCTTCGCTAAATACGCAATACAACTGCATGCTCTCTCATTTCGCCAACCCGTGAAGATCCGGGTTAGAACTGATCTTCAGTAACCCATGCTTGTCGTAAGAGGCGACTAACTGGGTCGGGTGGTCAGGCTCGCTGACTTGGTTGACGCATGTCATCGTATCCCATTTGCGTAGATCGATGCTCATGCTGTTGATCATTGGATTGTCTGGTCCAGACTCTATTATTTACAAACCGCCGCCATATAGCTGGAATAATGCTGAGTGTGGCGTCAAACTAAACTCCCTCACTCACTCCTCTTCGTAAATTAGTGCATTTTTTGTACATTCATCCGTTGGGTATTTATTTATTTATTTATTTATTTTTTTATTTGTTTATTTATTTATTTTCTGTTGATTCTGTTTCTGTTTAAAGTATGTTTATTCATTTAATAACAATATAGTCATATATGATTATGGTTAGAAGCACAATATCATGAATACATCACATGGCGTCACAGCGTTTTTGATATACAGGTAACATTGCTGTGCAGTGACCCCGACCGTGTAATCTGGGACTAGACCTGCTGTAGGCACACGACCTACATAAATACAGTATGTTCAGTTAAGCACTGAATATAATAGACTCTACAATCAAGCCGGTTATATACGTATCACGTGACCTGCCCCTTGTTGCCATGTCGGGCAGAGATCATTGTCCCGCTGTTCGCCATTCAGAAACCAAGATCATGGATATATGTATGTTAAATATTAAAGAAGCAATTTACCTGTAAACACCTGTAAATCACGTTTCTAAATCTATTGCTAAGGAAAAGATTCTGCTAAATGATCTGTGACAGGAATAACTGTGTGTACTGTTTAAGATTAATTAAGACTGAACTTTTTATGATGAGTAATTTCTATATTAGCAAATATTTTAGTTAATGCAGAAATCGTGTGATCGATTAATTCAAGTACAATTTGAATTGGTAAGCAAAAGCTGGTAAGGATACAAACGAATTCAGTATCCTCGTGTGTTCGTCATTTTCAAAGAAAGTTCGAGTGAATGAGTGGGTATGGTGTTACGTCTCTTTATCAATATTCCAGCAACATCACGGCCGGGGACACCAGAAATGGGCTTCACACATTGTGGGGAATCAAACCCGGATCTTCGGCGTGACAAACCAACGCTTTAACCACTCGGCTATCCCACCGCCCCCAGTGAAACAAGAGAACACTTTAACTGCTGATCTGCTCTGTCTGTCTGTGGGTGACAGTTGTCACGAATATTCATTCCGGCACAATGACTTGGTTGTCACATATCATCGTATCCCATAGAGGTATGCTCATAATGTGAGGAACGGATCCTTATATATACATACCAGTGAAGATCCGGGTTAGAACTGATCTTCAGTAACCCATGCTTGTCGGGTGGTAAGGCTTGCTGACTTGGTTGTCACATGTCATCGTATCCCAAATGCATAGACCGAGCACTGGATTGTCTGGTCCAGACTCGATTATTTCCAGACCGCCGCCATATAGATGGAATATTGCTGATAGAGGCATTAAACAGCAAACAACATACCGGCGTCGAATAGTTTATTATTATCATTGTCTATATGTTTGCGGGAACATTGCCGAGTGCGGCATCAAATAAAATGCAACTGAAAAAACATATGTGCATACAGTGGCTGAAAGATGACCTTCAGTTTGTAATGATATATCGTACCACCTTGGCAGACAACCATTTACACTCGTGGACTGAGGTAGTTTTTGTACATTTAGATCCAAAACGGACCACAATTTGTAATATATCTACACACAGTGTATCTCTGTTCTGGAAAGATGACATTGATGAACGCTGGATCAGCTCCGCGACGTTGTGACCACGTGGGATATCGAACACGGGTCTTCTACCTGGCGAGCAAACGCTTTAACCACTAGGCTACCCTACCGCCCCTAAGCATGCGATAGGGACACGTATAATTAATCCTTGTGCTCATGCAACGAGCGTCCCGTATAAGTGGGTCGTAAAACAAACGTATTCCGCTATAAACGAAGGTGTGTGTATGTGTGAGTGTGTGTGTGTGTGTGTGTGTGTGTGTGTGTGTGTGTGTGTGTGTGTGTGTGTGTGTGTGTGTGTGTGTGTGTGTGTGTGTGTGTGTGTAAAATGTATGTACCCACCAAAGATTAATACGTCACTAGTCTGAAAAGAATCGCGGACACAAATGATTACTTTTTAATTTTTTCAATAGCCTTTTAAAGACCATTGTTCGGGATGAGGGGTCAGAAGAAGGTTCCCAGTAACCGCACCTCGATGGTATAGATCGGTGCTCATGCTTTCAGCCTCTAGGTTTCGGTGATATGGCTGCATATTGCTAAGTGTGGCAAAAACCAACATTCACCCACTTGTTTTAAAATCCCTATTGAGGTAGCCTAGAGGTTAAAGCGTTCGCCCGGCACACCGAAGGCGGGGTTCGATCCCCACATGAATATATTGTGTGAAACCCATTGTGGTGTCCCCGCCATGATATTGCTGGAATATTGCCTAAAACTAAACTAACTCACTCACTAGGTTTTGTCCTACATTTGTGAATACTGTCCTTAGAAGCATAAAATATACTTACCTATAATTCAGGGACCATAGCTCATCATCAAGAAAACGACCAAGTTTCCTCTCTCTCACAGAAACCCTAACAGTTAATCACTATCTATCTATGCGTGTGGTCATGCTTCGATGTGTCAGCTCTCTCTCTCTCTCTCTCTCTCTCTCTCTCTCTCTCTCTCTCTCTCTCTCTCGTGTACGTGCCTGTGTGTGTATTAGTGTCAGCTTACAGTATCACCGAACTGTAATCATGATATAATTCGCTCACATCGTTCGCTCACTCTGTTATAAAGGTTACGAAGAGCAAAACCTGTAATTATTCAGCCATATTGTAAAATACAAAGAAGTAATGCGGTGAATCCACTGTTCGGCATCACCTGCATGACGAAGGTCGAGGTCAAAGAACCACAAGTAACTTGAATCACTCGTCAGTCAGCTTCCTGCTTTTATGTACAGTGAGGACCGTGGTCTGGATGTCAATCTCATAAAACAAGGCTGTCTTAAAAGATACATGAAACGAACCCACTGACAAAAGAACGAAGCGCAGCTGATCCAGCGTCCATCAATGTCATCTTTCCAGAACAGAGATACACGTGTGTAGATATATTACAAATTGTGGTCCGTTTTGGATCTAAATGTACAAAAACTACCTCAGTCCACGAGTGTAGATGGTTGTCCGCTGAGCCGGTACGATATCATTACAAACTGAAGGTCATCTTTCAGCCATTGTAATTAAGCATATACAATTTATGTTTTCTTTAGTTGCATGTTGTGTGATGCCGCACTCAGCAATGTTCCCGCAAACATATAGTCAATAATAATACTATTCGACGCCGGTATCACGGAATGTTGTTTGTTATCCAGTGATCAACAGCATGAGAGGACTACTCTCAACTTGTGGTTTGGCTTTTGCTTGGCTTGTTGTTTAAAGCCACACTCAGCAATATCCCAGCTGTATGGCGGCGGTCTGTATATACATGTAGTCGAGTCTGGACCAGACAATCCAGTGCTCGGTCTATGCATTTGGGATACGATGACATGTGACAACCAAGTCAGCAAGTCTGACCACCCGACAAGCATGGGTTACTGAAGATCAATTCTAACCCGGATCTTCACGGGGATGTATATATAAGGATCCGTTCCTCACATTATGAGCATACCTCTATGGGATACGATGGCATGCATCAACCAAGTCAACAAGTCTGACCACCCGACAAGCATGGGTTACTGAAGATCAATTCTAACCCGGATCTTCACGGGTATGTATATATAAGCATCCGTTCCTCACATTATGAGCATACCTCTATGGGATACGATGGCATGCATCAACCAAGTCAACAAGTCTGACCACCCGACAAGCATGGGTTACTGAAGATCAATTCTAACCCCGATCTTCACGGGTATGTAAATATAAGGATCCGTTCCTCACATTATGAGCATACCTCTATGGGATACGATGGCATGCATCAACCAAGTCAACAAGTCTGACCACCCGACAAGCATGGGTTACTGAAGATCAATTCCAAACCGGATCTTCACGGGTATATATATATAAGGATCCGTTCCTCACATTATGAGACTACCTATATGGGATACGATGACATGCATCAACCAAGTCAACAAGTCTGACCACCCGACAAGCATGGGTTACTGAAGATCAATTCTAACCCGGATCTTCACGGGTATGTAGATATAAGGATCCGTTCCTCACATTATGAGCATACCTCTATGGGATACGATGACATGCATTAACCAAGTCATTGTGCCGGAATGAATATCCGTGACAACTGTCACCCACAGAC